AAACAACCCTCTATTGCTTGTTTATCAATTTAGGCTATTTGCCCCAGCATGCTTATACTGCTCTCTGCTGTTCAGGCTATCTATCTCAACCTGCTTGTGTAGGTTCCTGTTGTCTGTTAATTTAGGCTACTTCTCCAAAGTCAATTAAATTAGCTTATATTGTATACTGAATTAGGCTTTAGTTAAATCTGCTGTTATTCACTAGTTCCTATATATTAATGTAGACTACTTCCTTGTGTTTGGATCCAACTCTGTTAAATACTTGTCCTTTTTGATACATAGAGAAAGAATAATTGGAGCAATCCATTTCTAAGGGCTCCACTTTATACTGAAAAGAGCGATAGTCCCCCATAGGCAACTTATAACACCTGGAGAGACTTAGTGAAGAAACTCATTATCACAGAAATTTAGAAGTTCATCATGGCATCTTATTAGCACATATCATCTAATTAGTAACCACATGTATTTGTGGATTTTAATTTTGCATAATCTCTGCGATTAAAGCTAATTTTGCATAATCTCTGCCACTAAAGCTAAAATGAACATAGTAAGAATTACTGCCAGTGTTGCCCAAAACAGGAAGTCATCTACAGCAACATATCACAGTGCATATCACTGTGAAATTAGAGCATATTCAGACATTGCAAAACTTAATTAGGCATGAAAATAGTTCTAATCTCTTATCACTAGAGGTTCCACATATATTAAGAATTCTCACATTATATTTCTATGATCTTCAGACATGCAACTCCTGGAACAGTATTGGTGTCGTTAAAGTAAGACATACTGGCATAATGTTGATGCCCTTTCATGTAAGACCAGCTAGTTGAATACCTGACTTAGGTGTCTGGCTGTGGAGGTGAGAGACTGGGAGTTCAGTTCCCCACTGGCCTACACAGTCCCAGGACTGCGGTAGAAGAAGGGAATGGTAAATAATTTCTGAGTCCTGTATATGTAGAAACCACTGAAAAGCGTCATCATAAGTCAGAATACTGTAGACTTGACAGCATTTTCTTACACATCACACTTTTTAAAGACACTTATATGCATTTACATCAAACACTGATTTTTTTTCCTGTTCTATGTCAACTTTGTATCATCAATATATACCACATAATTCAAAATACTTCAAGCCCTTGTCCACAGGAAATTTAACTGAGGTTCATAAATCACCACTTTCATTTGCTTCATGAATACAGACTGTTCTCATACTAAAAACAGTTTTTCATCATATCTCCACCACAGCTGTCTAATCATTCCATAAATCTAGAGTCACAATTGTTTTCAATCCGTATACAGTACATGGATTACCCAACCCATATGTTCTCATCAGGAGCCTTTCAACTTGTGGGTAAAGTGGCCTCTTCAGGGTTCTTCCTTTCATTGGGATAGATGTCACAAAGAAGGCATACCTTGCTACAGAATAAAACCTTATCAATTGGGCCTCAGCAAAATTCATTAGATATTTGTGAAATTATTTTGAGGGCCAAAACAGTTGTGACATCATAACATTGGTCATGGCTACAATTATTGCCAGAAGGAGGTCCAACTCAGACACAGAAGACATCATGTTGGGAACAACACCATGGTCCCAGTCAGAATCAGGAATCATCTCTGTACCTGTGTGTGTGTGATTATTTCCCCCCAAAGATGGCACTCTTAAGTGCAGATGACTTTGAGCCTTGGGGTTCTTAAACTGTGGTCTACAGTTCTATTCGGTGTTCCATGAAAACACCGTGGGCAGTCAAGAATATCTGGACTTCACCCTGGGAAAGCGGTCCTGACATTACACTCAACCTCATGCAAATCTTCGTGACATTTTCTCACAAAAATAGGCAGAAGCCAGACTCAAAAAACAGGAGTTCTCTTGTCTATTACTTAAAATATTTTGTAGCTAAATTCTAGCAATTGCTACAGGTTCTATCTTGATTATTCCTCATTGGATATTTAGAGGTGATGAAAGAATAGTATAGCCACTAAAACCAAGCACAACACACACATGACCCCCTATTATGAAAAGTTCCATTCCTGTAAATAAGCAAGTTTTATCACAGTTAAAATAGTTTTAACATATTTATCCTCCCTTGGCCCATCTGGGGAGATAGGTATACATGACAAATGTAAATGTACTTTTCTTCATTTAAAACTAACTGTAACCCAGGAAAGCTGTATATTTTGCCCACATGTTTTGGAATGTAAAACAATTTTAAAGAAAACATGTTTGCATGGGCAAACTAACCAGTTGATGAACTAAAAATGATCTCTGAATTTCTTTTAAAGGCTGTTCCAACACCTCTGACTGTTATTCTGTGATACGAAACATGTTATACCATACTAATTTTGGAACACAGAGGCCAAAATCCTGTTCATGCATCTACCTACCGTGTTTCCCCCAAAATAAGACAGGGTCTTATATTAATTTTTGCTCCAAAAAACGCAGTAGCGCTTATTTACAGGGGATGCTTTATTTTTTTCATGTGCAACAATCTACATTTATTCAAATACAGTCCCGTCCTCTTCTTTTGGTTGCTGCACAATGGTGGAGTGCAGGGTTTCACTTAACTGGGGCTTATTTTGGGGGTAGGGCTTATATTACGAGCATCCTGAAAAATCACACTAGGGTTTATTTTAAGGTTAGGTCTTATTTTCGGGGAAACAGGATATTTTAGTGCTATGTCTTAGATGCACGGTTCTGTTTTGCATGTGTTAGGGATTTTCGGAAGCTTGTGCAACAAGGCATTAAATACCTCCTTGCACAAGCATACTCCCCTTTAAAACAAAGAGGGCTATCTCTGGCTTGCATGATGGCAAACAAGATCATGAGATGGTTGTTGTTGGTTTCTCAGGCTGTTTGGCTGTGTTCTGGAGGTTTTTCTTCCTAATTTTTGCCAGTCTCTGTGGTCGGCATCTTCAGAGGACAGGAGCTAGAACTCTGTGTTCTGGTGTAGTGTGTGGAACTGTTGAGTATTTATAGCTGTGGGATCAGGGTTTTGTCCTTTTCAGGAGATGGGGTGTTTCCTGTGATCAGGGTGATTTTTGTTAAGGGTGTATTGTTGTGATAAGGGGGGAGATGATCTGTCACTGTGATTGATGGGACAACAGCTACAAATACTCAACAACCCCACACACCACACCAGAACACAAGAGTTCTAGCTCCTGTCCTCTGAAGATGCCAGCCACAGAGACTGGTGAAACATTAGGAAGAAAACCTCCAGAACACGGCCAAACAGCCTGAGAAATCCACAACCATCTGATCCCAGCCATGAAAGCCTTCGAGAACACAAGATCAAGAGAGTACCATGAGCACAGCCTTACGCTAATCTTTCCACAATGAAGATGATACTGGCAATGGACATTGGCACTCTTCACACATTGAATTTTCAGAAATAAAAAATTTCCAATCACCCTTCCTCCTTAGAGTTCTAAGGTCCTCACTGAATCCTTTTGTCATGGGGAAGCCACTTGAAGATTACCATACACTAGGATGACTTTACTGGCAATGGCTATGCTCGGAAATTAAAAACTCACCTCCACAAATCCTGTAGCCTGTTGGCTTTCCCACAACAAGGGGAATTCCATGAGACTTGGGACCTTGGGGGAGAGGAATTGAATGCTTTTATTTCCAAAAAATCACTATGCTTCCTTTCAGGGTTTGTGAAGCTAGGATAGAAGATGTCAAATTCCTATTCACAAAAATAAGCAGGAGTCAGTAATGCTGTTGGAACGGAAAGAAAGGATATATTCTTGTCTTGCACTTGCCTTTCAGATATATGAACCTACATAACTAGCACTTTTCCAGCTTTGCTTAGTACTACTGTCTAAGCAGTAGTACTAAGTAATACAACTGGTATTACAGCAAATTAACTGAAAAATAATAAAACTCTTTTGCACCATTAAGGGCAGCAATAAGCAACAGAAATTTAGGAACATAGTCCCAACATCTGATCGAGGAAATACCACAGAACTGACATAAGAAGTTAAGAACCAGGCCATTATCCTCTTCATTGTGGATTAGTGTAAGATCTTGCTCATGTAGCAGAAATGTAGCAAGCCTGAGAGCAACTTCTAAATTCTCAAGTGGGTTTATGCTTGTGCAAAAAAGTACTGAATGCTTCCCTGCATAAGCTTCAGAAAAGCCCCAACATATTCAAGAGTACACTGTGCATGTAGTACAAGGAAACAGGATGGTGCCCCTAATTAATTTAGCTTAAGAGCTGCAACCATAAACATTTCTACATTAAGAACAAACCAGAAATAATTTCAAACAGACATACAGGTTGAGATATATTAAAACAAGTTCATCAAATTGCCACTCATTTTGTGTATGCTCAGGGAAGCTTAATCCAATGCTATTGCACATAATTAGCAACAATATGAATAGATTTATTTTTTCAAAGATAAAGGTTTCAATGTTACCACCTCCAATCTCATCAATTTCCTACCAACTCACACTGATTGTTGCAATCTAAGCAACTTGTTTCTCATTATTATTCACTGTATTTGTACTCACAGACCTCAAACGTGTTTTAATACTAAAGTAAAACCAAGGACAAATGTTGCTCTACAAGTATAGGTATAATGTTGCTCTACAAGTATAGGTATAATGTGGAGAATACTGCTCAGCCATATGGAACAGGAAATATGCCTGTTCCATAGTCAATGGACTATGGAACAGGCATATTTCCTGGCATCACAAGAATGTCATGGTACAGAAAGCAGTTCAAATCAGTCTATCTGAATTCTACAACTGGGTGCATTTTCCCTTTATTAAGCAATAAGCAATTCTGTTTTGAAACACAGAATACCATAATAGCTACCTAAAGCATTATCATTAAAAATAGGCAACTTACTATGAAGTGATTTAATTTTGCTTTAACTACATATAGGAGTGAAATAAACTCATTGCTCAAGATACATCTTTCACTGAAATGACCAAGAGTAACTGCTCTCTCCACCTAGTACTCCAGCTACAGATGGTCACCAAAATATGAACATCTTACCCTGTAAAACATAGATATTTTCTTTATATTCCACAGCATTATGAAACTCCATTGCTACAGGCATTGGACAGACAGCTGTCCAACAGTTCTCTCGGCTATCGTAACACTCCACAGACTTCAGTGAGTTGCGCCCATCTCCTTCATAAACCCTACCACCTATTGCATACAGTTTTCCACAGCAGTGAACCAGTTTGCAACCTATCCTGGCACGAAGCAGTGGAGTCTTAGCAATCCATCTATTGCCTGAATGATCATACATCCAGAAGTCACTTTCTGCTCTGTGATCAATGGAGACCTCACTGCTGCTTGGTCTGTACCCTCCAGCAATATATATGTCATTATCTGGTGAGACAAGAATTCCCACTTCTCTCAAATCATTGGGTGGTTTGCATAGTTTGAAGACTCTCCCTGTGACAGAATCTAAACAAGGCACTGTTTGCTTCTTTCCTGAGTGTTTATGGGCAGCATCAAAGCAAATTATCATTTCTGAAGCAGTCATTCCAAGACGCTGGGTATAGCCATTGGCACTACTTTGTCCTTTCGGTACACAGTTTTGGGCTATAGCCTGTGCAAACATTGGAGGAATTTGCTCTATAAATGCTTCATCCAACAGTGGCATGCGGATGCATTTGGCAAAAATTTCCGGCAAGTGGACTTCTCTTTTCTTGGGTTCATGTTCATACCATCTTATAATGCTTTCATAAACGTGCTCTTCCTTATCAACATTTAAGTCATTGCTGTCTAGTATGCTTATGAGTTGGTCTTTCTTCAGCTGGAGAAACTCTTGCTCTTTGGTGACACTCAAGAATTTTTTACGAATGTAATCTTGTGATGTGACTTTCAATTCCTGATGCTCATAGTGATCAGCAAAGATAAACACTCCAATTGAATTCTGTGGGTCCAAATAATTGATCATGTATTTAGCACACTGGTCCTGGATAAAAGGGATCTGGAAGATACTAGCTGCAGTGAACAAAGCTTGGACATTGGCCTCTGTCAATGTTACTCTGGAGGTATATGCATAGTTCAGTACTAACTGCATGGACTCTGCTTCAACACCTACAATCCGAACTTCCTTTTGGGTACTCTCAGTAAGGCCACTAGTGAACATTGATCTGCCAAAAGAAAACAGATACACAGTTATTTACAAAGAACCACTTTTAGCATCAATAAGTGCTGAATTTGTTAAACTATCCTCCATTGAACTTTTATGACATAATCATAACAGCTGCTATCCCAGACAATTTGCATATATACATCTTGTTGCTCAGGGAAGGGGGGGGGAAGATTGCAATATGTATCAACCAAAGTGTCTTTTGCAATTTTGGAGAGAACCTGTGTGCTGCCTACACAACATCAATCCATGCTGTATAGTTTGTGGCACTTCAGAAAGAGCCTCGTGGCGCAGTGGTTAAAACGCTGTACTGCAGCTAAAACTGTGCTCACGACCTGGGGTTCAAATCCCAGGTAGCCGGCTCAAGGTTGACTCAGCCTTCCATCCTTCCGAGGTCGGTAAAATGAGTACCCAGCTTGCTGGGGGGGCAATGTGTAGCCTTTATAATTAAAATTGTAAACCGCCCGGAGAGTGCTTGTAGCGCTATGGGGCGGTATATAAGTCCAATAAATAAATAAAATAAATAAAAAGAAGCTCAGCATTCAGTTGTATCACACACCATAACAAAGCTACACTGTATAAGTATGAAACTTGAGTAGAAAAAAAAATAAAAAACATCCATGATCAGAAAAACTTTTTTATATAGTAAGCACACATGGAAAATGACTTGATATGAAAAAAGTTTCTCCACTTTGAATTATATAACTGAAAATGCAATTCTAGAAACTTACTCTATGGGAGTAAGTTTCATTGAACATTACAGGATATACTAATGAGCTGACATTTACAGGAATGAAGCAAACAAGGAGCCACTGGTGTGTACTTCATAACAAGCTGTATGAGCTTTGACAGAATGTGGTGCATAAAGGAAAGCTCTTTTATGGTTTATCTTCCATTGAATATACAGTGGACCCTCGACTTACAGACGGCTCGACTTACAGACGGCTCGACTTACAGACTTCTCTGGCTGCAAAATTTAGATTCGACTTGCAGCCGGAGAATCGACTTACAGACCAGGAAAAAACCAAAATGGAACAAAAATAGAATAAAACTGCCAGTTGTGGGATTAATCAGTTTTCAATGCATTGTAGGTCAATGGAGATTCGACCTACAGACTTTTCAACTTACAGCCATCGTTCCAGTACGGATTAATTCCTTAAGTGAAGGAAGGAAGGAAGTGGGACTGAACTGTGTCTCCACTGATATTCTGTACTATGGAGTGATTGGTTTGATTGGTATTCTACCTTTCTCCCAAACACTAAGACCCAAAATAGAATATAGTACAATTTAAAAAAACACATGCAATAGAAGTGAGTTATACGTATAAGAATTAAATAAATTATGCTATTATAGCAAAATGTACTTTAAAACCATTTAAACACATCTCTATAGGAAATAATAACAAAAAACTAACAATATAAAACTGCAGCACATTTGAACCATTATTCTGTATAGGAAATATAATCTTGTATGAGGAGCTGGCAACCACAATACACCTTTGCACAGATTGCCAAAAGTTAGCTTATTTCAAAAACATTCATTTCAGCCTGGCTTGCTCAACAGAAATGGAGAGGAAAGTATGAAGAAAAAAAGACTACTTCCCATCTATTTTTGTCAGGAATCAACAAGAGCTGAGATAACAAAAGACTTCTTAAAATTCTATCAAAATTGAACTAGTAAAGATAAAGGTGGAACACAATGGACTCTCCCAGGCACAAAGAGGCACCACAGCAAATCCTAAGTAGTAACAAGGATGCAGCAAGAAAACCAAGTACCTCACACTGTGATCAATTAAAGAAACTTATAGCAATAATTGTGTTTGCCTGATCTGGAACAAGTCAAAATATCAAACCAATTTAAAAGAATTATGTGCAACAACAACAGAATTACAAAAATGCACTCCTCTCAAAATACCAGTCCAGCAAAGTAATAGTCATGTAACTGAGCCCAGTACCTGAAGTAAGGGCTGATTGCAGCAAGAACGTTCCGATGACAGGAAAAGGTTTTCCCATGATCCACTTCTACCACAATATCTGTCAGCTGTCCTTCATCATACATCATTTTGAGCTGCTGGAGAATGCTGCAGGCATGGAAAGGATCCATCCCACCACTGGCTGTACTTGAAGCAGGTGTTCCATTCAATGTTTGTGAAAACTTGCTCTGTTCTGATGAGACAGTGAGATAAGTCAACTTAGCATACACCTAAAACAAATGACTGACAGTGTTACTGGCTCATGGCACACAAATCATATTTCACAAGTCATGAACACTGGAATCTAGTCGAGGAGGACCAAAACATATTAATATTCCATCCCAGTTTTCCACAGACTGTACCACATTCTAAGTCCTAAAGAGGGGATCACTATAATGAGTAGAATCCTATTCACATCTTTGGAGTGTAAAATCTCTGCAAAGGATCCACTCCTTGTGATTTTCAGCTCACACTGTCATGAGCTGCAGACTGTCCTTCTCAAAGTAATGGGAACTTTCATTGATATAACTGGGATATGAATACACACTTAAGCAAATGGCATGAAAAAGGAACTGCATGCACGCACCCTGTTTTAAACATACTGTACAGCTAAAGAAACAGGATCCCAACCTACATATTCTTCCACCCTTTCAACTTATACACCTCTCAGAATTACAAATATTGCAATAGAATCAGAGCAATACTTGGGAATCATGAATACACTCCGAAGAGTGTATTTTTAGAATTCAGAAAACAAAAACAATTATGAATAGCTATACAGTACTACAAATAAGAATAGTCCCTTTTCTGTTGATAACCAATAATTAAAAACCCTGTTCTTTCCTGTGTTCATTTTTACGTCTTGTGACTTCAGTTACTTCCAACAATTCACATACTGGTATATTTGCATATCAAAAGCCACAAGTTACATTAACTGTGGTTTGTTGCTTAAATATAAATTGCATAGCATGTGATCAACAAATCATGATTTTTCCTTCCCATTTCTATCTTGCTTCTAGTTTGTTTCTCTCTCAATTCTTGTGTCAGTCTCTATTTCAAAGAAGGCAGATGGGTAATAAGCCAGCAACAAGTCTTGTTGTACGTTCAGAAATCATGACAATCCATAGTTTACAAGCTAGTTATTTAAACCAACAACAAACCATGGGTTCAGACTACAGTCTGCAAGTGGTTAAGACGAGTTACAGTGGCGCCTCACATGACGATGACCCCGCTAAAAGACAAATCTGCAATCACAAAACGATGTTTCCCATGGGGGATTTTTGTTTGACGATGATTAGGTCCGTGCTTTGCGAACCATTTGTTCGCAAAACGATCCAGCTGATCATCGGGTTCCTAAAATGACTGCCCTGTGTTTTCTGGACCCATGCTTCGCAGGGCAGCCATTTTAACAGGTGATAGGTGCTCGGAAAATGGCTTCCCTATGGGCGATCTTCGCTGGACGACGAGGTAATTTCCCCATTGGAACGCATTAAATGGGTTTCAATGCATTCCAGTGGGGAATTGTTTTTCGCATGACGATTTCGCTTAACAGCGATTTCAGGGAAACAGATTATCGTCGTCATGCGGGGCGCCACTGTATTAATGACTAACTTAAGCAAGGCAGGTTCACAAATTACAAGTCAAATATCAACAAAGTACACTCCAGCTTGTTGTGATATGCAGTCATTTTATCAAAAGTGGTATTTTAGAGCTATGTCAGTTGTTTGTCTATGATATTTTACTGTAATTGCTCTTCTCATTCCTGAATGCATGTTGCTGAGGTAGATGTTGGATCTAAAAATACTGAAAACTGCTATTACAATCTAGCCTAACAAAATGAATTATTCACATTATTATTCTGTATTACTTTTACACATTACTGTCAGCTAAAACTACAGCAAGCAACACATCAAGCTCAGATCATATCTTTCTCTTACAGCTCATTCCTTGACCTAAAGTGAACCTTGTACTAAATATCTCAAATCTAAAACATATTTCTGAGGACCACCATAATGCTATAAATTTTCACAGTGTCTTAACTTCACTGAACTGGAGATCTATAAAATCCATTCCAATGTAATCACTTACTGTTGACAATGCAAAAGTTACTGATGGGTTTTCATTTACAGTGGTGCCTCGCACAACGGGCGCCTCGTAGAGCGATGAATTCGCTCTACG